CTTTAACTGACATGGTTCCATCCCTCAGATCCTGGGATCTGTAGTTTTGTGAAGCATGAGTATTCTTTGGCAGAAATGACTAAAGACTTTGTAAAACTACAAATGCCAGAATTCCATAGAATGCAGCTACAGTGCTTAAAGTGGGGTCAAACTGCATTATTTCTACAGTGTAGAATTTTAAATTGCAATTGTCCATTTTTTTTAATCTCCTGGATCAAAAGTCGAATCTGCAGTTTGAGAGGGAATGGAATTTAACTGTAAATCACAACATCAGTGCCTGGATAGTTAAGACTGCGATTCTGCGACCCATCCCAAGGTGTACGTCCCACTGAAATCAATGGGATTTCCATCTTTCTTCCAAGTAAAGATGTTATAAGTGTTGCTTGTTCTCCAGACCTAAAAGGCTGCCTTCAGAACTTGGAGAAGCTGTCTTCTTGGGCTACTCACTCCACAGAATCCCCCTGACAGTGGGACTAATGGCTATGCTGACTATGAGATTCTAGAAGCTGTTGATCTAAGCACAGCTTTGCCTGATTCTTGCTGAGTTGGATTGTTGCTCTATCAAGCTCATTACAACCACTCGAGTTGACAAAAAGTTGACTACCTTCTTTGTTATTGTTGTTATGTGCCTTCATGTCATTTCCAGCTTATGGTAACCTTATGGCAAACCTATCACAGGGTTTTCTGGGACTGAGAGTGTGTGACTTGTCCAAGGTCACCCCGAGGGTTTATACATCCTAGCAGGGAATCAAACCCTGATCTCTAGAGTTGTAGTCAAATGCTCAAACCACTACACAACACTGGCATGCTGTGCGCTTTCAAGTCATTTCCAATTTATAACAACCCTAAGATGAACCTATAATGGGATTTTCTTGGCAAGATTTTTCAGAGGAGGTTTTCCATTCCTTTCCCCAGATGCTGAGAGAGTGTGACTTGCCCAAGGTCTTCCAGTGGGTTTCATGGCTGAGTTGGGAATCAAACCATGGTCTCCAGAGTCATAATCCAATGCTCCAACCACTGTGCCACACTGGTTCTTATAAATGTCCATAATTATAATGTCATAAATCCAGCCTGTTGTTGTTGTGTGCCTTCAAGTCATTCCCAAGTTATGGTGACCCTAATTTAAACCTATCACAGGTTCTTCTTGGCAAGATTTGTTTGGAGGTGGAGGATTGCCTTTGTCTTCCTATAAGGTTGAAAGAATGTGACTTGCCCAAGGTCACCCAGTGGATTTCCATGGTTGAGTGGGGATGTGGGCACTGCTCTCTAGAGGTGTATGTCATACTGCTATATCATACTGGCTCACATTTTAAATACTAAACAGTATGCCAGCTGAATATTTTCAATTAATGTATTGAAAAATTCTTTGTGGAGTATTTTAGCCAACTCTAGGTCTTTCCCAGCCCTCTCTGGAGGCCTGAGTTTAGGACCTTCTGCATACAAAACAGAGGTTAGAAAAGTTCCTTTTCTGGACTACAACATCCAGATTCCCAATGCCAACATGGCCAGTGGCAATTCTGGCTGGAAGTTATAATCCAGAAGAGACAGTTTTCCAAGCTCTATACAAAACATGCACTTTACCACTGAGCTACAGTCCTTTCTGAAACATAAGGATGCCATCAGTTGTTGGGAGAGAGGGAAGAAGGAAACTGTTCTTAATTGGACAAAGGGGAATAATTCATAATCAGTGCATCAAGAAAAGTTGTATTCCCCTAGCAGATTAAAAACTATGCAAGTAAGCTGTGGTTCATATAAACTGCAAATATGCTAGGAATATCTTGATGCATGTTTGCAATCACCCTCCAGAGCACAGTTTCCCTTGCAATTACAAGACTATCTTCAACCCTGTTAAAATGTAAGTGCACAATGCAGACCGACTAATGACTTGTAAAATCTTTGGTCCCCAATTATTTGATGCTACAGCTATTTCGATTAAGGCCATGACAATAAAGCTCTCTCTCTCCAGAGCAGTTTTCAAGTTAAGGTGAGGAAGCAACAATGTCATTTCCTCCCCTGAAATCTCCAAGGTCCCAAATCCATGGAGCCTTTCATATAATCAAATCAAGAAGCAAATTAAGTATCATTGGCAACATAAGGGAAACAGCCAACAAAATATCTCAGATCCTGCTGGCATTTACCATTTCCAATTGCTCATCTACATTCAACAGACAAATGGAAATTAATTTTGCAGAATGGGTTTCACAATAGGAATCCCAAAGTTACCATTATACCCTTGTGCTGTAAACACCACACTTTGAAACCCACCCACTGTTTGCCCAGGACAGAGATAGTACCAGAAACATTCAAAAAGTATTGGATCAAGGGAAAGCATTTGTGCTCTTCCTTAGGGATTGGCAAGGAAATAGTCCCCATGGTCAGCCTCATTTTCCTTTTGAGCAGAAATTCATCACTTCATGCTGATCTGTGAAGAAATATACCCAGAATACCTAGATTCTTACTGGTTACACTGAAGAATTCAAGGGATACAATGATGAATGCAAGAATGCATCAAGAGTTATCTTGGCCTTAGGAGTGGTCAATGTGCAGCCTTCTAGATTTTAATGGACTACAACTCCTCATCACCCTTCACTCTTGGATACATTATGTAGAGAGAACTTATAGCACCTTTGAGACCAACTGAAATAAAGAAGTTGGCAGCATGAGCTTTCATAGACTTCAGTTAGATGCATATAGAGGAAATAGATTGAAGTCTATGAAAGCTCATGCTGCCAACTTTTTTCTTTCAGGTAGACTCAAAGGTGCTACAAGATCTCTCCACATACTGATTCTACAGACTAACATGGCTATATCTTTAAATTCTTGGATACATTGACTAGGGCTGATAGGAACAAACATCTGAGGACCACAAGTTACCTACCAGGGCAAGATCTAACAAATGTCGGAGGCACTTCCTTCCTACAGGTCAGATGGCTACTCTGTCATCTCAGACATGGAGGCCTCTAGTGAAGATCCTATCCACCCTCTAAGGACATTATCACACGGTGTCTAAAGCAGTCCCATCCCCATCGCATCCCCGTCCCATTGCGCTTCCTTTTCCCCCATGTTCACACGACGTCGCAGAGAAACCCCGCCCATCCCCGTTGCATCCCCGTCCCATTGCGCTTCCTTTCCCCGTGTCTTCACACGATGTCGCACCCATCCCCGTCCCATTGCAGCATCATCCCCGTTCTTTTGAATGCCGGTTTCTTTGGGAATTACATTTTGCCGCGACCAGAATGATACCGGAATGATGCTGCTTTCTGTATGCTGGTAAGTTCTGGATTGAAAAGGAACCGCAATGGGACGGGGATGCGACGGGGATGGGACTGCTTTAGGCCCCGTGTGATAATGTCCTAAGTCCCTACTCATGAAGAGAAGGAAGACAGGCAGGAGAGCAGGTCCCAATTCAACCAATGATTCAAGGAGTACTCTTCAAACTTCAAACATTTGGGAAGCTTGCTTTGATTTCTGCTCACTTTTTCCAGCTGAGGGAAAAGCAAAACCAGATTATTGTGTATAAGAGTGGGGTGGGGGAGAGAATTACAAGAAGAAGAGAGGCCATCATTGTGAGTGCAAGAGTACATGTATTTGAGGGCATTTCTCTTTAAATGGTTTGCATCTATAAATATATGTACACTAGGAAAAGTATAGTAACAATTGCCAACATCTATACACACAACATCTATACCAACACATTAGCATAGGCAACCTCTATGCAAAACTTTCAACTTTTTTCTTTCTCAATGATTTTTTAAAATGTTCAGTTAAAATATATATATTTGCATAATCTCAATTTGCTCTAATGATGTAACACTTAATGTGTGTCTATGTGCCTTAAAATTATCTGTCGATTTATAGAGGCTCCAGAAATTTCACAGGATTTTCTTAGGCAAGGAATCCTTAGAGATGGTTTTGCCAGTTCTTTCCTTTGAAATATAGCCTCCAGCACCTGGTATGTGTTGGTATTTTCCCATGCAAATACTGACCAGGGTTGACCCTACTTAGCTTCCAGAATCACAGTTTTAGGGTATAGAGATTTAGCATTAAAAAACAATGCTTGTGTCCTTAGGCTATTTAGGCAGGAACAGATAATACAAGCTTATTTTAAAGACAATTGTGCCACAAAGCCCCAACTCAAACTATACTAGGGATTTCTTTCTTTGTATATTCAATAAGGGAATGGGGGACCTGGGAAAAAATAATAAAAAAATATTCTGGAGTCTAAGGAATATATATCCTTTAATAAGTATCAAACCAATTAACAGAATTATTTTTAATGATAGCAACTGAGTTTGTAAAATTATTCTACTATTTGCTTATGAATCTTTCCCCACTTTCCCCACTTTTAATCCAAGACTCATTAAATGTTGATGAAAAGAATAATTCAATGAATGTATGGGATTTAGGTGTGCCAAGTTTAATACTGGACAGGGTTGCTATAGCTTTAATGGCTAGCAGATCCTGAATCAAGAAGACATATTGTAATGGTCCCATGAAGCTGCTGCAACATGGCTATTTACTAGGAGTGAAAAGCAGGTGGGAGGATGGCAAAGAATCCAGCTCCATTCCTGAGTTGGATGGACATCATACCCTCCAACATAGTGGCTAAAATGGTGTCAAATTGCTTTACTTCTACAGTATGAACACACCCTTATAAATGTTATTTTTCCAAGCTTTGATTTTCAACAATCTATATCCTCAGGCACTTCCTTCCAGTGAAATTCAGCAGGACTCACATCAGGTCCTCCGAATATTTTCACCTTACATAGGCCCTCCAGATGCTTCTCATCTGTAACTCTTCTCATTGACCTAGCCAACAAAGCAAGCTACTGAAGTGTTGGTGATGAATTTTGAAGAAAAGAGAAGTTGCAAACTGTAGAAGAGGCAAAGGTATCCATGAAAATTGGAAAGTCAAAAAGCCAGAGAGAGTGAGAGAGAATTACATTAATGCTGTTGAGAATGGAGAAAGAGAAGTTAGAGTCTTGCCAGAGAAGCAACAAAAACTGAACCAGAGCAAAAGATGGTCCTTCTAATTGCTCTTCTATCTAGCAGCAAGGAGCAATGGAAGTCTTCACTTCCTAGAAATGAAATGGAAGCATTCCCAGTGGCTTGGCATATTGAAGAGGGTGGTGCAGGAGGGGATGTGGACAGAAACTAAGATTAACACATAACCCAATGTCTGATTAACAACAATGGTTCCCATAGGTATCCAGCTTCTGCTTTTCTCTGAGTAAAGAGGGTGATGCAAGCATCTCTTCTTTATGGTTGCTCCGAACCTCCACTTTGAGTCATTCCAGATTTTCCATCCTCATCAACCTGATGTTGCAGAGGAAATAGACTGAAACAAATGCTACTTAAAACAGCTCATTAAAAAGTTGGATCCCTGAACTCAAGACTAATCTCTGTCTAACTTAACAGCTGGTGCATTCGTTGTTGAAAGATGAGGAGTGGAAAGACAGTAAACAGGATAAGAATATCTCCATACTGGCTAGCTGATGGCACACTAGTGCTTCTTTTGATACCTGCTCTGACAAAAAATCCCTTTCCTTTCTGTTTTGCTTTTGTAGGCACCTTTTGAAAGAAGCTTGCATTTGCAAATGATAGGATGTTCAGTAAAGGGATGATGGTTACATGGAATTGTATCCCTGTTTATTTGGGGTTTTTTGCTATCTTAAGTGTAATGTAAATTACCTTCTGCTCCACAGTTGCTGTGTTTAATGCATAGTTGGACTTGCCTTTGATATGTTGCTCAAGGTCTTCCTCTGCTATTAATTCTGGACCCTCATTCCTCCTCCCCAAGACACCAG